TATTTTGTGTTTGCTTTCTATTTAAATAGAAAGCAAACACAAAATATACAAAAGTAAATATACAGTAATCGAGCATTAACTTGATTTTTATTTGTATTATAAACATCTGTACTTGTACTATTCATATATATCCAAGAAAATTTCTTCTAACTATAAACTCTATATTTTAGATCAAAAATCAAGTGTACGGTTAATTTTGTTGTTGGTAGAAAGATGGATGAAAATTATCATGTTGCTAGCTTTTAAACTATTAAGTAATTACCAGGTAACTTTCGGGGATGAGAAAGACAGAGTGATAATCCTCAACAAAAAAATTTAGAAAAATGTTATTCTCATGTATCGATGAACTTGATCCAAGTCGTCAAATTGACATATTTTTTTTACAATAGAATGCAAAAAGACTATTCTTACATTTGTCAAATTCAAAATTAAGAACTAAGCAATATAGACAATTGAATGGATCGAATTTTTCTTAGCATGTTGTATTTAATGCTGTGTATTGTACAGTACTAGCATCACAAGAAACTGAGCAAAAAAATAGAATCAGAGTTGACTTCGTCTGTAAGCGTAGTTAACATCCACAAATGGATAGAGTAAGAATTTTAAAGTTTACTAAACCCTGGTAAGAAAACATCGACTTTTAGAAATAGCGCTTGGTGCATACTATCTAGAACGATAACAGTGACGAGAGAGAATTGAAAATATTGCCCTTTATTGAATGTTATTTGACGTTCGTGAATAAAATTTTTTTATGCCGGTTATCTTCGAACAAATTTTTCAAATAATGACTTGGGTTTTTGCGAAAATGATCAGAGAAACGACTGTCTACTTTGGTCATTGATTTCATATTTTAGAATCTGACAGAATAACGCTAAGCTTTTCCTCAACTTGGATGCCAAACAAGGATCGGAGTACAGCAGTGGTCAATACTGATGAGATCGCTCGAAAAGTAATCATATTTCAATTAATCATCACATATGCCTAAACTAGTTAAATTGAATGAAATTCTAGTTAGAATTAGTCTATGGTATCAAATCAGGCTCGATCTATATCAGTACTATTGTAATCAATAATGGTGAAACAAATGCCGATAGCCGTCTACATTCCCGTGAACTTCACAGGGTAAAACGTGAAATGTAAGTCTCATTTTCTGTAATTTTTCCAGTGTACCTGTGCTCAATACATTCCTAATTCTATTTCAGACCTGGATGTGATCGATTAGGATCTGATCACTCAATTGTAGAAATGAATACTTATATTGTCTACCCGGAAAGTTGTGCCACATATAAACCTTGCAAAGACAACTTTGCCAATGTTATCCAAGCTCGTATTGCTGCATATATTTCAAGCATTCCACTCAAATTCGAATTTGATGACGGAAGCTCCAGTGAACTTACGTTGACCAGATGCAAGAAAACTACTGATTCATCATTAAATTCTTTACGGTTACCGCGTGCTCCTAAATCCGTTACAGGAAAACCCACACCAACCGCTGCACTACCAGGTAAACAGCTTTATGTTCCATAAGTTTTTGTATGCATTGGCACTAATAGTTTTGCTATTCAGTTTTGAAAACTTAAATTAGTAGAAAAAGTCAAAGGAATCGAGTGCTCTACAATTTTCTTCTGGGATCATATTCAAATCTATAGTTTGATAAACAAGTTAAACGTAATATTTAAAGAATATTGAATACCTCAAACTTTTGAGAATTTCGTAACTCAAGAAATCGAAATGTGCATATGTGTCAGCGTAGGAGAAATGCCTTGATAGTATACTATGTACCATTTAAAAGCCATTTATGAAATATTATGGGATGTCAGTCTTGACTCGATAATATTTTGACAACATTCAGTCGCCATGGATCATGATCAAACTATTTTCGTGAATGTCTCTTTTTGAATTCAGTTTGAATAGAGATAAAAAATATTCACCGAGTAAAAATAGTTATTCATGAATTGAGTAGTTTTTTTTCTGAGAATCTTTCCACTAATGAATCCTTACCTGATAACTTGCCAGTTATGAGCTCAACAATATCTACACATTTCGTAGAAAGCTGATGTATTCCCATTTTCACTCTACTAAGTTTTTACTATAGTATAAAATATTCAGCACAAAATGTATTTAATTTTTTTGTATCATATAGAAAATTTCGAGTAACACTGCCTCAAAAAACCCATCAACAAAGTGCTGCGAAAGTTACTAGTCTGTATAGCAGAGTTGAAATCAATAGGGTTGTTTTCCTTACCATTACTGTTATCGTTACTCTTCAAAGCAATCAAACCGGAAAGGGGCAATCGGTATATCGGTATATCGGTATAAGTCATTTTTTATTGTTCTTACCTTATAACGGTCAAACGAACCCTTCAAATAGTCATGTCTGTGTTCTAATAGCTAGAGTACTTGAGTGAATAGCTATTGTTTCTCATGTAGATTTGCACCGTTGTCATCGAACGCTGTTGAATGCTTGCTTTGATACTAGGTTTCAGTCGATTTGAAATCTTGTGTAGTCATTGTAGATTCCTATTTAGTTTGTGTACACATAGCAGTGGCTTATTGATCTAAAATAACGATCCAAAATTCCAAGTCGAATGAATAATGATAGTAAGACCAATACTGAATAGGCTCGATTGGAACACTGCATGTGCACATGAAAGAAAATAAATTTTTCCTCGAAACAATATCACTATTTTCGATAACATATGAAGGTTATACTGACAGTGATACAGAACATGTATATATAGTATAAATTTCAGAAGAAACAAGAAGTTGTATGGATGATTAAGGAGACTTCAAACAAAATGTACCCTAATATGTCTAAAAGTTAATTCACCTAAACTGCAGAACACCGAGATAGATAGGTGCATCCCACCACATACTCGCATGGCGGCCCCTAAAAATTCTGCTTTTGAAAATATTTCAATTGTTACAGAAGATTGCAGTTGCAATGCTACTTTCTTTCTCAGGCTGAATTTTCTTGACAAAATTCAGCCCATCATTTGTTCTACCTTTTTAGATTTCAGAAAGATCTTGATCAGAGACGTAAATCTAAAGCATTTTGATATCGTTGCTTTCATTCATAACTTTCTCAGTTTTTGCCAATGAAAAAACTCACAGAATGTCTTCATTTTAGAAATCCATAGTGCTTCTCTCAAGACGGCTCACATCAATTCGTCAAATACAGAGTATGGAAATGACACCTGTCTAAATCCAAATGCATCAGGCTGTTGTCCGTATGGTTGGTATTTTGTCCTCAAGGGCTCAACAACAAAGTTCAAGGAGATCACTTGCACCTTCCAACTAGCGGGCAACATTACTAAAACTTGTGACCCACTTGATAAGCACGTTGATCTGTTTACACCAACATCGGACACCATCCTTGGTTGTTGGGCAACTGTAGTGGGTGGATCTGAGACAGAGATTGTTTTGGGTCGTATATGCTTACCGACAGGTAAGAAGATTCTTCATGGTTTAATATGCCGAAGAAGCTAGCTCACCGAATTGTTCCTATTCAAAGATCGATGTATTAGATAAACTTTTACCACTTTCAAATTTCTACATACCAAGATACCACTTTGAAGGAGTAATGTGTGAATGTGGTAATATCTAATGATTGACATTGGGGCAAACTCATCATTTATGACCTATATAATCTAGGGAAACTCAGTGAAAACATGTAGTAGAGGTTGAGCATGCTACTAAACAATTGTGTGATTTAACATAGCAGCGTAGAAATCCAAGGCATCCTCTTTTTTGGAAAAATTATTTTTCAAGTAAAATGATTAAACATTTAAATATTGGAATGGCTCAAATACCGAAGTGTCCAAGTTTTGGAGTCTTCAGTTTATTCACACTAGGATTGTTCGAGGCTTACGCTCCAGAATAACATCTAAACAATGTCTTAGCTATCTGCAGCAACAGTAACAGCTCTCGTCAATCACGTCTAGTTATTCTTTTCGATTAATCAACTACAGGATTTTTGGAGATAAAGAAAAAAAAGTGTTCTTTCTCATATAATGAAACTGAAAGAGAGATTATCCATTACAAAAAGATCCGCAAAAGTTAGACGTTACATCAATCGTAACGATAGAAAAAATACAAATTAAAAAAAACTGAGATTTTTTTGTCGATAAAAATGCCAACACCCCAATTGGAAAGCATTAGATATAATTTTCCGCACGATAAAGTCATCGGTGTTAAGCTTCGAAGAAGCATTAGACAGAATGAATATTCCCTAGTAGTATTTAACGCTACTAGCGAACTGAAATTATCCTGAGAAAGAGTCTATCTTCATTAGTAGAAATATTAATGATACTCAAACTCGTAAAAAAACCAGTTCTCAACATTCTTCATGTTTTCTTCAATATTCCGATGAGAACTAGTACAGAAGATAATTGTATCGATCAGGTCTAGTTCTTACCTACCTTCGATCGAGTTTACGTTAGAATAGAGCAAAATGATTTGTCTACCAAACCTTCAACGTCGAGGGAGCAGTTCTATTACAATCACAGCCCAATTAAAGGATGTCATTAGCTCAAAACTTCCATTTCATTCCAAGTACAATTTCTGCTTCTCAAAAATAATAAAATATCACTAGATTAATTGAAATCAGCAAACTTCCTTACACTTCCTCAAACGACTCATAAATCAGCCTATATCCTAATTAATTCAATAATAATAAAAAAAACTACGCAACCACTGCCACATATTCCCGCTCATTCATCACCTTCAAACAAAAAACCTCATTCATAATCACCAACGTTAGGCATAGCTTTCTGTAACCCTTCACTCTTAGAAAAGAAAGAAGATTATCTTTTTTCCTAAACATACTATTATTCTACACCTATTCTCTGAATTATCGAAATCCCACTCGATCATTCTTCTTGACTCTAGAGCTAATCTCTCGTTTTATACATGCAAATCCATCCTTCACATTAATTATTCAAGAAATATCCAATCATCTACTTTCAGCTTCTCAGTCACATGTAAAAATACCTCACTGTCACCGTGTAATATAGCTTTTTAATGAAAAACTTCAACACCTTTCCTGTCAATCACTAACAGAACGATTTTCTTCGCCAACTTTTCATACCTATCAACACTCAACTTCACGATTCTAATTTTTAAAAAATCCGATTAAAAAAAATACATGTTTAGGTAGTTGCCTCACGGATAAAGGCAGCTGTACCTTGAACACTATATGCAATTACGAGCCATCCAGTTCTACAGTACAATGTGTCTGCAAAACTGGCTCCATAGACACTGACCCAACAACAAGTTTAAAATGCGCAGGTATGTTATTTCGTAGAATCAACATGATATATTCACTTTACTGAGTGTACTAAAAGTCCCGTTGAAAAAGAAACATGAATATCTCTTTAACCATTCAGACGATTTACGTGAGATTTTTATAGTGTCATTTCATATTCGTTCAAGTTTTATTTCACATAAATTCTTCTCTAATAGATTTCCAAAATGATCACTTATAAATGGAATACATAAATCTATTCTTTTTGAAAATATTTATAAAAATATCAGATATAATTGAGTTTAAAATCTTTTTGATCTTATTATGGATTTTCATTTTCAAGTGAACTAATTCGTTCGACAGACGTCTTATAAAAATGATTCTCTTAATCCTTAACGACCGAGTATCTCTTCCAAGGCACATTATGATAATTGATATAAAAAATGTAACAAAACTTCATATTCAAAAACGAATAGTTGTTCAGATTGATATAGTATGAGAGGCTGTAGATTGAAAAACAAAATGCTATTAGCTGACTTCTTAATGAGACAATTAATTAGTTAAAATTGAAAAAAGTTTGTGGATGTAAGTTTTTGTTCTGACAGCTTCGTTTGTTCATAGACACAACGTACAGTCTTGATTTTGTGATTGATATTGATGAATATTACATCTAGCTGTCTTATGAAATTAGCTTTGAAATTTCGACGTGATCTACTGTGTCACGATATGACATCTAAAAGAAATGTTCCTTGAATAGGATATAGAAGGATCAAAAGAAATGAATTTCGATCTAAAGTTTCACCACTAACTGAGCTTCCTGATTCATAGAATGTCCTAAAAGTTTCACTCAAAACGAATGCTTCTTTCTCTAGATATGTCACATTGAAAACAAAGTTAATTTTGTGAAATGTTATCGTTTGTTTTCTTATTCAGTATATCGGCAAGAAAGCACTCGTTTTGGTTGAAAATTTCAGGACATACTAAGGATCATGAGTCCTACTTATGAGGAAAATTTCAAATCAAATTTCTTTTCTTTTGATTCTTTTATAACGTCGAATATTCCTACCAAGAGATATTCACTAACTCCAGAAGAAGAACAAGATAATTCTTTTTAGCTATGATATGAGCATATTGTAGGTCCATAATCTCTATTTTGGTGATCAGCTTCTTCCCGTTGTCAAAAAGTCCCCTGTCGGCTTTTAATGATTAAGTTGACAGTTTCAGGATATTCTTATGGCTGCAAGAGCTACTTGCAAGCAAATCAGCCGAAGATTAGCTCATTCCACTTCTCGAAAAGTTGTGTCCCTAGACTAGAAACGTAGTAGAACGACGTAACTCTGTCTAGGCGATGCATGTATTTTAATACTTTTAGGATTGAATTATTGCCTTGCTACCTTATAAATTTCGTAAAATATGAACTTCAAAGTGGTGAGAACCTCCAGAAGTTCCCTCGTGAGACGTACAAAGAGGAAAATATGAGAGTGTACATGTGGATTCGTGATGAAACTATCCTTCTTTCTGTTCAATAACTATCTGACAAAAGTTGCATCGTTGGCAAAACCATACTAGATTAGACAAAAACGAAAATTTTTTTCAACTTTCAATAAAATCAATGAGTTTCGTCACCAAGAATAAATGATTCTTGTATTTGACGGTATCTGGCCCAACTGTAAGTTTTGTCCAAACGAGAGTAAATGGTCACTTTGATATTGTTTTTATTGATTGATCAAAAACATACCCTTTTCATAGGATTTCCACAAGAAAATGTGAATATGAGTGTGGGTAAGCAGCAGATTCACATCAATATCCACTTACCACATTTACATACTTGTTGAAACAAAAAGAGAGAAAAGTATCTTGTTACTAAACTTTTTGTCGCCACTTTATAAGTTATTCACTATTATTCTACGTGTAGAAGTGTTTCTGATTCGTTCAGTGCACAATATTCCATTCCTCCAGAATAGGATAGAATCTTTTGAAAATTTTACTCTAGACAGAACGATCAAAGACGTACAATTTGGCATAATTTGAATCAAAGTTACTATGAGAGTTTAGGAAATACGAAATTGAAAAAGATATCAGTCAGTAAAGAAGCATGAAAAAAAAATTCGCGATCATAATGAATCTTATACGAATAGATGTCGTACACATTTCTTTACCGTATGACGAAAACCGGGACCCGATAATCTGAAATGATCAAAAATTATTCAAAAACTGGTGATTAACACTTTTAATAAATTCGACGCTAAAATATAGTACAGTATTTGACATCATTCCATTTTATTTATGATATCGATTAAAAGGCACTTTTCGTTATATTCCTTCCTATTTATTTGTCATTACGGATACTTTTATATTTTAAACAGAAAAAAACAGAATTTTCCATTCATTATATTCAGTCGTACAGGTTAATTGTATGAATGAATAGTTTGACATTGTACTATAATTCTTTACTATAACGATTGCTTCAACAATTGCAGATAGTCTGTGCGGACTCACATCTGACGTTAACAGATTCTCTCAGACCACAGTGAAACTATTAAATGCCGATCAGTATTCATTCAATGCATTCGGTGTACCAGTAGTTTTCAAACTTGAAAATCTAGTAGGCAACATAGACAATTACACTATTTTCGCAAATGGAATACCGGTAGCTGATACTGATGATGTCGTGGACACTATTACCGTCAATGGCTTTACCAACAACAATGTTATTTTGAATCTTCTTGCCTTGGATACAAACGGGCTGCCGATTTTTTATTCATTTCAACTGTATTTTGGATATATTTCAACTCCTATTCATGTTTCATACGCAGATGGAACTCCTGCTGCAGGAGTCACGGTTCATGTTAATTTGACAAGTAATCTTCGGATAGGTCAAAGTGGTCTAACCGATACAAATGGTATGATCACTTTCAACAATCTACCAGGCTTGACTATATCCATTTTTGCTCATAGTCAAGATAACCAAGTGGCTGGGATAGGTTTAGTACCATGGTTTTCAACTGTTTCCCTCGTTTTATTGCCATTCAATACTCAAAATATTGCTCCAATTGGAGCTGGAGAAACTATTACTAGCAATACCAACGGTGTGATGGAAGTGCAAACAATCTCAAAAACATTTATGAGTCCACCATCAGCTACTGAAGTTTATGTGGAATATCAATTTATTACTTCAGAAGTTCCTGGAGGTTATTTTGGTTCAGAATTTAACGACTATTTTAGTGTGGTTTTGCGCTCAGAAACAGGACAATATGTTATGAAAACTGATAGTATGAATGGTCTTGGTCTCGGAGCGTTTGAATATAGTACAGGTGCTACGCAATGGTATAGACTTAATTTAACAGTGGGTCCTGTACCCGAACAGATTCGATTAGACGTCAATGTAGCTAATGTTGGCGATGGTTATTTAGACTCGAAAGTGAATGCTCGTCTTATTGGAGCTGAGGAATGTGCTCCTTGTGAGCAAGCTTGTTCCAATTGCACTTCAGAACCCATGTGTCGTGGAACATGTGTGAATCCACCAATAAACAGTTGCTTGTTTTATCGTGAGTGTATGGAGACAAAAGCAAAATGTGGCTTAAATGGATATCCCCTTGAATATGGCTTACAATATTGTACGAAATTCTTAACTTCATCGTATCAATTTAGTTCCAGCGGACAAACATGGATCACGAATACTATGAATTGTTTGCAACAAGCTTTGATTTTGCCATTGAAAAATTGCGATAGCTGTTGTTCTCTACAACAGATCGCACTCAGTTCACATCCGAAGTGCTATATTGATAATAATATTTGTAATTTGCCTGCAATGGACTGGATCTGGATTGTAACAATTGTTGGAAAAGATGTTTTAAACCACGATATTTTCATTCAGACATTGAATGCTCAATCTCAATGTATTCCAACCGTGTTAGCGACAATAGAAGCAGAAATGGCTAGTGCATCAGACCCTATCAAAAATGCCCTAGCAATCATTCATCAGTGGTTACAATCCTTGTGAACTCATACAATTTTTAATACCATAAAGTAAAATCTTCGTATCTCAACTGAAACTACGAATTTGACTGCTTTATCTGTTAAAAACTGAAAGTCTCATTTCTAACATTCATATTTTTAATCGAATTTCCGTTTTTTTTAAATCAACTATTTCTTCATATATTTCTCTCTTTCTTAGTTATCTACTTCTTAAATTTTTGTTTCAAACTTTTTTTTCCCTGTAGTTTTATTCTATGCTATTCAATTCTTGCTAACAAATACTAACCCAATTACTTTTAAACCTGCTTTTGAATAAATATTGACATCTATTAAATCGAAAAAAAATTAGATATATCGAGCGATGAGATTGATATGAAATGAATATGAACTATTTCTAACTCGAGAACAATTACTATGATTTTTGCTTTGTCATATTCTTTGAACAAAACAAACTGTGTTGAATATTCAAACATGAACGTGTTATTCAGTTCGACCAATCGATTCTTACTTGTCAGCGATATAAAAGTGATTTATTCAGTATTTAGTCTTCAGATCTACTACATAATTCCTCACTACTCTTCGTTTTTTAACTCTGAGGGTGAGTGTCGGTGTGTCGAACAAACTACGATACGTTTTGACCTTGCTTAAGGATTTCATCAAATTATTACAACTCTATAGCAACAATAGTAATTCTTATGCCATGAACAGATTAATTACTATCAATCTCAATGTAGCAATGGTCTTGGTTGTGCGAAAATAAAGGAGAAAGTTAGTTTAGTATCAAGTATTTATTTTCATCAATTTGTTGTGAATAACTAAATCAAAAGATGATGTTTTACAAATATGAGAGTTTCTCAAATAAAGTTCTTTTTTTGATTAGAATTCAAGTAACGAGTATTCAAATAATCACGTTGGTTTTTTGTTTATTTATATTATCAGCATTTTTAATTATCGACATTTGATGAGGATGACTTCGTAATAATTCTTGTGTGAGATTTTGATGATTGCAATTCCCGATGATCAGTTTTTTTATTCTTGATTGTTGTCTTATTAAATGTTTTGATTCCGTATTTGGTGAATATGTTTCTTATAATTTTGAAGTAATTTCTTATGTGTATAGTGAGTAATGAGTAGGGGCGTAACTAGAATATGGCCAGGGGAGTTCAACCCTACTACTGACCTCCTGAGCTCTATCACCCGCAGTTTCACCTTACTGACCAAATTTCCAAAGCAAATTAAATGAAAGTCATCTAGAACACTTTAGTTCGAGTCTTGAATTATTGAAGGTTTATATGTAATGCAAGACTGAAAGCATTAATGTCATTTTTTTTATCCCGGAAATCATCAGGTACCCATGTAAAAAACACAAAAAAAATCAAATGTTAATCGATTTTTAATCATGAAAAAATTGATTTTGATCGATTATGTCCGCAAAAATCGATTTTAATTTATTTTAAATCACAAAAAGATCGATTAAAATCAATTACCTCGGAGGAAATCGATTTTAATCCATTATTACCTGTTACTGGTGTCATCTAACGTTACCTTTTAATCGATTTTAATCGATTACTTACTTGATAATCAGTTTTAATCATACATGTCGGAGATCAGCGCTTTTCATGGGATTTGGATCAGAAACTCCCTGATTTTCTCATAATTTTTCGGATTTTTCTTGTTAAGAAACTATTGACTTACCACTGGGCCAAATTAGACAACCGAATTAAAGTTGGAACTCCTATATAAATTGTTTCAAAATCGAGATGGTACAATTACATCAGAAACCAATTAAAATCGATTAAGTCCTATATTATGGGGTATCCTTAGGTTCTCAAGTTTCATACTACGGAGGTACTTTTAGGTCCTCAAATCACATGTTATGAGGGTACCCTTAGGCCCTCAAGGTCTATATTATGGTTAGGTTATTGTTTTCCACAAACTGTGGTTCCCTGAATCGGTCCCTAATCAGGTCCACATTTGTGGACAATTAGACAATTAATCAACTCTGGTGACCAAATAGGGACTTTAATTTAGGGTTTTTTTAATAAAAAATAACTATACATAATTACAGGTGTGGTGCTTTCTAACTGTGAAACGGAACTGGTGCGATCATCCAGTTCTTCTAAAAAGAATTGAACACCATTTCTAACGCTTTCGAGAAGAACTGGTGAACATTTTCTGTTTTTTCGAAAGAATTGGTCGCTAACTTCCAATATTTTCAGCAGAACTGGTGACTGTGACGAACTTGATGAGAGAATTGCTCGTGAGATAGTGAGAATCTCTACCATTTATCACAAATTGTGATCCCCAGGTTCATCTTTACATCATATCGACATTTGTAGATGATTAAGCAATTAATATCAATTAAGGTGACCAAACAGGGATTTTTTTTTAAATATACAATATGTCATACATAACATAATTCAACGCCATTTTCTACCGTACTGAAAATGTTTTATCATTGAAATCAAGTACTGGAGCGAAAACCGTAGTATGGATAAGAACATTCTGGTCACTAGAATCATTGTTTTTTCTATTAGAAATGCTGAAAAAGTATCTACAAATGATTTGTTTTTTAATTCTGGTTATCAGAGGTATTGTTTTTCTTTCTATTAGAAACGCTGAGAAGGTGTTTACAAACGATTTTTTAATTTTTGTTATCAGAATTTTAGAGAATCTAGTCTGGTCATAAGAACTGACTCCCTAAGATTCTGGTAATCGACTAGATAGTGATACTCGCTTTATTTGGCTTCTTCACACAATAAGTGATAGTGTTTATATATAAAACATACTCTTATACAGAAGAGACAAACAATAAAAAACAGCTAAGCGGAGCGGTCACATGAGAATAGAACGATCACAAAGTCAATTAGAGCGAAAGAGATTGATAAAGATAGACCGCGTTACAGTGATCAATTTTTTACTTTTGAAAAGAATTGACCGTCAACGTCCACTCTTTTGTGAAGAACTAGCGACCAGTTCTTGTTCTTTGAAGAGAATTCGTCACTAACTTCCAATGTTTTGAGTAGAACTGGTGACCAGTTTTCTTCTTTTGAAAAGAATTGGTGGCCAGTTTCTGTTCTTTCGAAAAGAATTAGCTGTCAGATCGAGTACTTTTCAGTGGAGCTGGTGACCAGTTTCCTTCTTTTCAAAAGATATAGTTATATTGTAGAAAAAATTCCCTAAATTAAAGTCCTTGTTTGGTTACCAAAGTTGATTAATTGTCGAATTGTCCACAAATGTGGACCTGATTTAGGGACCGATTCAGGAAACCACAATTTATAGAAAATGATAGCCATTCATTCTATATGGGTAGTCTGAGGTCCTCAAGTTCCATATTGTGGGGTGTCATTAGGTCCTTCAAAGTAAACGAGACGGAAGAAAGAAAAGAACGAATGATTTCTATTTGCTTTTGTGCATAGAAGGGAGCGAAAAAAATACATGTTATTCGCTTCTGATTTGATGCTAGTTAATAAAAAATATCTTGTCGCTTATTCTTTTCTGTCTTCCTTGATATAAAAAACTAATAATGAGGTTATATGCGATGGAGCTCAGGGAACAGAAAGAACATGCAGGCGAATAATGCAACGAAGATATGTGTCATCAAGAAATCAGCAGTATAAAGAAAAATGAGATGATTAGTGAAGAAGAAAACGAAGAAGAAAACGAAGAAGAAAACGTCGAAGTCAATTGCACTGTCATGGCGGAAGATATTAAAACATATAGAAGGTAAACTATCTCAGTTCAATTTCTGAGATTGAGAAACAGGCACCTAAATAGTAGAAGACTTTGTATAGTCAAGGGACCCAGTGAATCGTCTCGATCCACGCTACTTGTTTTTAATAAATTATAGAGACTTCTTGGGACAAAATCGACTTTAATGGATTGACGTTAAAACAGAATAGAATTCATCAGACTTTTAATGGACTACTGTGACCTCTTATAAGGAAATAGAATATTATGACTTCTTAGGATAAAATCGGTTTGGGTGTGAGTGTAGATTCAGACAAGACTCATACTCACACCCTTACCCACATCCACACCCAAACTCACATCTCACACCCTCACTCCACACCTACATCCACACCCCGCCACACACCCACATCCACACATACACAGAATCTGCGTAGTGCTGATAAAAAACACTGAACTATGGATCATAACCTTCGATAAAATTTCTTTCTTTCTTCAGAAGAAAAAACCATGCTCGTCACATAAACAGAGGATTGACGAAACCTCAAAGGCCATTAAAAAAGATACTTAAAATTTCAAATAACGCGACGCAAGCTTCGCCAAGTCCTTTGCTGAAAGGAGAATAATATGATAGAAATACGATAATCGATAGATAAGTTTCGAATTTCACCAATCTATCTATTTTTATTGAATATTTGTTCTTATTTACATAGTACTGACATTTTAGATTTAATTAATTATAGTACATGAATAGCAGCAGAAAACAATGAGTATTGTGTCGTAAGTCTTTTAGGACTCATCTATGTCATTGTTTGTGTCCATATCATTTATATTTTTTCATATTCATCGAACTGCTTCTGAAATTCAGCTTTGATACAAGCATTCTCATAACTTAATTGAATGATGAATTCATTGATGTTGATGTCGATTACCAAGATAATTCCAAATAACAGATATAATGAACGCCGCTGTAGTCTTTCACAAACAAAAATAAGTTCCTTTTTCTCTTTCTCTTATATTACTATATATATTTCTTTAAGTCATTGTTTAGATAATAGAGTCAACTATACTTGTATGCAGATATTACGTTTTATTTATAAGTTATTTGTATTTATTTCAAAATGATCCATTGTAGCGATAATGAGAGAACACAGACGGTAATGCAAAGAAGAAAAATATCCTATTTAACAATTTCCAGTTTTAGAGTGTAGGTATGCTTAAACATGTCTATTTTTGAAAGCTGATTGTTTTCTGTAGCCGACAAGCTTCGCAAATGGTCACCCACTCTATTACTAATAATTGATAATGATGCAGCTTTGAACTGGAACGGCAATCTCACTCAAAGTTCTCGCTCGATTTCCCAAGCTATCTGTACATGTAATATTAGACACATACTGATCACACGCGGCATCATTTGATATCATAATAATGAGGCTGATACTGTATACATGCAAAGTTCAAATAGTCAGATCAGAAAAACTTTTAGTGAGATTGTTGCTCCTATTGAGAACTACATCATCGATTCTTGCTAATAGATTGGATGATCATTTGTGAAACTTATCGGCTACAAAAAACAATCGGCTTTCACAAAAATACATTTAGACATACCTACACTGTAAAACTGGAAATGGTTAAATAGAATATTCTTCTTCTTTGCATTAGTGTTTGTGTTCTCTCATTATCACTACAATGGATCATTTTGAAATAAATACAAAACAAAATAACACGTAAACGAAACAACAAGTAAACGAAACAATAGGTAAACAAAATAGCACAAAAATAAAGTATAATATATGTAAGCAAGTATAGCACACTGTGTTACTTATACAAGGGCATACTAAATATACGTATAACAATGCAAGAGAAAAAGAAAAGGAAACAATAGAAAAACTGACTTTTTTTGTTTGTGGGAGAGTAGAGGTTGTAAATAATCTGTGAAAGACGTTGTTGTAAACTTATTCACCTATGGTAACGTTCTTGCTAACCAATTTGTTTAGGGTAATACTAAGCTGGACGAAATAATAAAGAAAAACATGAAAGAATATTATATATGAGGGGCGACAATACAAAATTAAAGCAGAATTTTTTTTATATATACGATTCGATACAGCGTGACGAGCGGATCAAGAATATAAGTCTTTTCATTTTTTTGAAATGAGTTATTAGAGGAAAAATTTCAGTTTATTCAAATGATCTACTTGTTATGAAAAAATCTTTCAATTTTTAGTAACTCACAAATTGTTGATTCTTTTATTTCCTTCAAATTTCAGAGGTATTTGTTCCAGATTCAGCATGAATAACTGAATCTAAGAAGGTCATTTAAAATTAGCTTCACAGGCTCAGTTTTCATGGCAAATCTAAATGTATCAGTTTTTTAATACAAAAAAACATACTTTTAGAAAAAATGGACCATTTAGGACGATGGAAAAAACTCAATTTTCTTTATCAAAAAGCTTTAAAAAAATAATAAAATACATATTATTACTCAGCTCGTCGAGCTCTATCTAGCCATGTATTAAAAAATGAACAACAACATTTTGCTCGAAATTTTTACTGTTTTGCGCCTTACCGAGGCCGTGACAGGCGGCGGAGTGCTACTAGAACCAGGAAAGGTACAATGATTGTGTCTGAAACCGAAGGTCGAAGTGGAAACGCGATTCTGTCGTGAACGAAAAATAAATATCCTTGCTGATGTGTGAAATTGTCGTTTGAGGTTAGGTTTGACTAGGATTATGCTTTTGAGAGAGACACGATGTTCAGTGCAATCTTAATATTTTGTCTCCTATGCGATGAATGTACAGAGAATAGGTGACTGCATGTTATAGTGCACATTCTGCCAAACATGCAAT